CAACACAGATCGCGAACGGAGCTGTGCTGGCAAGATGACGCTAATGTGAGGAGCGGCTGGTTGTGCATTTCGCCGACTGTGGGGTAACAGGCATTGCGAAGGTCACGATGGCAGCTTGGAGGTCAAAGCCATGGCAAAAGCAAGGGATCGCAGACTGGAAATTGATGATGCTACGTCACCGGCCTACACGGGAAGCAGGCACGATGAGTTTCCCACAAACTCTACAACGGTCATTACATCACATCCAGCAACAAACCTCAACACCATCACGTCGCCATGAATGCCAGACATGTCGTTTACTCCACAGGAACGCGTTGCGGCATTGTCCAATCATCGGCCCGTCTAGCGCGGGCGACAAGCCGGCGTCTGCGTCAGTCTGGCACCATCTGGAGCAACAATGAAGCTGCACTAGTGCGACATGACCGCATCCGACGCAAGCCGAGCATCGCGTGCGATATCGTGGAGCACCAAGAGTACCAACCATGGTATATATGGCCTTCACCACAATGAAAAGCAAGTCACAAGACCTGCAGAATTGCTCGCCCTCTCAAGTTTGCACACACCGAAAATCTATAACCCGTGCCGATTCACCAGCTCCAAGTGCAAACTACACCACCTTTCACACAACCACTTGAGCGCTAGACTACACCCACATTCCAAGATGATGATCCGGAGACAAAACCTCCACCGCTTCCAGAGCTTCGCGCTCGCACACACATCCCGAACCCTTGCGCAGACACCGCGCTACGTCTCCCAGAGCGCACGACAGAATGTCTCTATCCCCGCCTCATCACAAGTCTCGACCTCACATCTCCTGTCGACGCAGCCAGAGTCGCAGATAGCGCAGACAAAAGCAGTCCTCGGACGCCTACCTACAGAGACCGTCCTCCGATCCTACCTCATCACCGCCGTATCCTCACGGCCACTGCTGCTCAATGCTTGCTTCGGCATCTTACGGCGCATGCTAGACTCGAAGTCTTTCCTCCTGAGCATCGAGCGAAACCCGGTGCTGTCCAACTTGCTCAAGAAGACTTTCTACGCGCAGTACTGCGTTGGCGAGAAGAAGGATGAGGTTGTCAGGAACACTGAATTCGCACGCACGCTTGGATACGGCGGCATCCTATTTGAGTACGCGCTTGAGGTTCTAGGCGGAAAAGCGCCGACTGCCGAAGAGACCAAGATGGAGATCGAGGTGTGGAGGAAGGGAATGCTGCAGAGCGTTGATATGGCGAAGGAGGGTGACTTTGTTGGACTGAAGTAAGTCTTGCCTCGATGGCTTAGACACAAGCACCTACTAACCACCATGTAGATGGTCCGGTCTCGGTCGCCATGCCCTCAACCTCCTCCAGAACCAGCAAGATGCCACCCCTGAGATGTGGGATGCCATCACGGCAGCTTGCGATGCCGCCGCCGCAAAGGGTGTCAGCCTTCTCCCTGGTGCCGAAGAAGAGGCAACCAACCGTGGACTCGAGAAGTGGACAGTAGCCCTGCAGGAGAAGTACAACAAGCCCGAGAACGGTCGCGCGGTTCTCTACATCACATACCAGTGCTACCTGCGCGACATCTCGAAGCGCCTGGCCGAGCACCTTGAGCGCGCCTCAAAGAAGGGCTACATCGCTGGTGTCAAGCTTGTACGCGGCGCCTACCTCACATCCGAGCCCAAGCATCTCACCTTTGACACCAAAGCCGGCACCGACGCCAACTACGATGCCCTCGCTGATGCCGTAGTCCGCCAACAATGGACTGACAAGGTCCCCGCCCCCACACCAGGCACTCCCTTCCCGAAGGTCAACATCGTCCTCGCAACCCACAACCTCGCCTCCGTCCAAGCCGCCCAGAAGATCCGCGCCCAACAAATGCTCTCCACTTCCCCCGAGAACCTACCTCGTCTTACCTACGCCCAACTCCAGGGTATGGCCGACGAGATCTCCCAGGCTCTAGTCCAAGACGAGACCATGAAGGCGGACACTCAGGCCAAGGTCGTCAAGTGCATGACTTGGGGTACCACAACCGAGTGTCTCAACTTCCTGCTCAGGAGGGCGAGTGAGAACAAGGAGGCTGCGCTCCGTACTGAGGATACCCGAAAGGCCATGGGCAAGGAGCTTTGGAGGCGGTTGAGGGGTGTTTTCGGCCTGGCTTAGATTGGGCTTGTTGTTTCCGAGGTTGATGATTTATGAAGCGAGGCATTTGCATGAGCATGAGCGTGGCGTTTGGAAGGGACGATTGGGAAGCTACTTCTCGCATTACAGCTACCCTTTTCCTTAGCATTTGACATTTTAGGTATTTTGCATAGCGGTTTTGTTTCAGAGAATGTTCATCAGATATCAATACCAAAGTCACAGATTACTTAAAATTCTCTCTCGCGCTCTCTCTGTGGCCCTGACTGTGTCAATCGGATAGTCCCCAATTTCACTCGTAGATATCGTCGCCGCTGCCGCCCCACACCCTCGCTTACCACGTCAACGTACTCTTGCCCACATTTGACGTGTCGATATGTTCCATTCAATTTTTATTAGTAATCAACAATCGCCTCCTTGGCTAAGTGGTAAAGCGTCGCACTTGTACATGCTACGATATGCGAAGATCGGTCGTTGTAAGTTTGAACCGCGCTTGGTTCAAATTCCATTACTAACAGTATCATAGCGATTCGGCCAGGTGGCATTCAGTGATCTTCTTTTTGCCTCCCTTTGCATTCGACGAAGTTGTTAAGTTGATTCTTTTTGCTCACACAACAGCGCGTCGATTGTGAGGAACATGAAGTCCTGATGTTTGTTTGTACCCAAGCTTCTTCCAGTTCTGGTTATAATGACAACTGCAGAGACAAAATGTCTGTATCTTTATTCTCTTGCTAGAGATAGATTCAGAAGTCATGAGAAGCGATCAGAAGGAAGCATCTCAAGTACGTGAAGGTGTGAATGACGGGAAAATCATGCCTGCAGATGATGGCGGCCTCAGTCCAACGCACGGACCCTCCACACCGACATACTCCTTCTGCCGCTCACGACGATCAACATCGCAACATCTCCAACAATGCCCCTTAAGCTAGATGTAATTATGAATAGCAGTACTCGTACGCTCGGCGCGCTCCAGGTAGCTCTGCAAACCCTTGCGACCTGAAATCGTACGCCAAGCCCCGGCCCGAAACACCAAGGCCTCCAAGCTCAAACCACAGCTGCTGCAAGATCCGCGCATCAAACACGACTTCGATGAGCCTCGTCCAGAACACGCCGCTCAGTGGTGGAAATCGGTTATGTCAAGCTCAAGAGAGACAAGGCGAAGCTCTGACCTGTAGGCTTGGCTATACTCGTACGCGTTTAGGAGTGAAAGAAACTGTGTTTCGCAGGCTCGAGGCCTTTCCGTGATTTGTAGCATGCCGTTCATGCAGTATAGATGTATGGGAATCCCCCACACTTCTTTCCTTTCTTCTCTTCCCGCTATACTGCCGTGCGGTAACTCTCGTCTGCCACCCTTCTTTCGATTCTTCTTCCTGGCCGGTCCATCATTTCAATAACCTAATTTCTATTTCCATCTATTGAGCTTATCGTTTTTGCCATCATGTACGGACTCATCACTCTCTCGCTGCTTTCCCTCACTTCGGCGCTACCACAACGCAACCGCGGTGGTAACGGCAATGGACAACAAGCGACAGCCTTTCAGAAAGCGGCTCAGGTGCCCCAGGGAATCTCTACCGCCACCGATGGCTCTATGATACTGGATGACACGGTCATGGTCAACAACCTGCCTATTCGATTCAAGATCTCCGCACCGGCAGATCAATTCCTTCCAGCTTCGGGCGTCCCCGGTGCGGCAGCTACATCGGCGAACGGCACCCTGGGCGCGAACGTGTTGCTCCACGGCGACGGTGGACAGAGTTTCTTCGACATGCCGAACCAAGCTGTTCAGGCCAACACCATGGGTGTTGCGCTACTGGCACCCGACAAGAATCTGTTCTGGGGAGGAGGCTCGGGTCTTCAACGTACAGATGGCGTAGCACACGCTCAGGCCGTCAACGACTTCATCCAGACCGAACTGCCGCAACGGGTTGCAGTCAACATGTCCAACATCGTCTTCACAGGTGTTTCGGGCGGGTCGCTGATGATGTCCGGCTTTTTCATCCCAGCACAGATGCAAAACTACGCGAACTCGGCTGTCGAGCTTAACTGCGGTGGCATGCCGCCACAAGTCGCTTTCCAGAACGCTGCCACAGTCATGTCTCAGACAAGGATCCACTTCCAATCTACACAGAGTGAGCTCCAGTTGCTTCAGGGTAGCATTCCACAGGCTGTTACAGCCTATGAGCAGCTTGGTGCTGATGCAGGTTTGAGCGCTGATCAAGTCAACACATTGCAGACAGTGGACAACACACCTGCGGGAGGACATTGCGAGTTTGACGGTCAGGACTTCGTCTCTGGAGTACAGACCATGTCGTCGAGCTATGCGAACGTCATGCAGGGCGGCAATGGCCAGGTGCAAGGAATCGGTGCGCCGAGCACTGGTGTTGTCACGACGGGTGTTGTTGGAAACGAGAACTTGAAGTTTGTGGGTGGGCAGAGGAAGCGTGAGGTTGAGGCGAGAAGTATGATACAGATGCGATGGGCGCAGGACGTTGTTGAGGAGGCCGACTTCCAGATGCTGGCGTGCGATAGAAGCTCTTGCTCGGCCGATGAGCCTAGGGTCTAGATGTTCGTGGGTTTAGTACATAATTCCTGTCTTCATGTCAGATCAATCAATTGAGTCCGACCATCGCAAAAGCGTTTCCTCAACGCGCTCCTTGTGCTGTTGGTCCTGTTGGCGCACTGCCAGCATATCATTCATCCGTCACTGCAATGAGGAACACAAAGTGTGGTTTTGGTCGTAATGTTCATTTGACTGGTATTGTGAAGGTCGTCCCATTGCTAATCGTGGTTGCAATGTCGTCTCCCAAATCCTTCACCCCGTAAATGCATTTTCGCCGTGCCCGTAAACCCATGAATGTGATCGAAAGCAGGAAAAGAGACACCTCACATGACGACACCGGAGTTGGAGGCGATACGCTGGGAGTTGTTAGTGTTGATTATTTTGGTGGCGGGTGCACACGTACCGGCCACAGCTCAGCGGCCTCCTTTGCGACGGGTCCAGTGATGGCGGAGCCCTTCATCTCACCCTTGGGGTTGACAATGACACCGGCGTTGTCCTCGAAGTACAGGTAGATACCGTCTGCTCGCCTCCATGGCTTGCTCTGGCGGACAATGACGGCAGGCATGACCTTCTTCCTCAGCTCGGGCTTTCCCTTCTTGACGGTCGCCATGACCATGTCACCGGCACCACCAGCGGGCAGGCGGTTGAGACGCGCACCGATACCCTTGACGGAGATGATGTACAGGTTGCGGGCACCGGAGTTGTCGCAGCAGTTCATGACGGCGCCGCTGTGCTTCTATTAGCCTGCATTCCCTGTGTGCCTTGTATGCGTGTTCGCGAACGGAGAGGTTTTCGGCGGAGCGATCGCATCGGGGTCAAACGTACACTGGCAGACCAAGAGTCATCTTGAGCTTGTTACCGGAGGTAGAACCTCGACTGCACACTCGTTAGCCAGCATTCCTCTGCATGACAGCCTCAGACTGCCCAAAATGTCGCTGAGGACTACGTACCCGCGCTTTCCAGACATTTTGGTAGATTATCGGGGGGATATTCGATTTGGGCGGGTTTCGGGTGCGTCGTCGCTGGAGTTGTCGTGAGCGTCGTGAAGTTCGGCAAGTGGGTTGGCAACGACGAAATTCGTGTGGGCGCACGGACCCCGCTAGCGTCATCTTCTGCTTCTCGAGACCAACACCAACACCAAGACTGCTCAAACCTCCAACTTTACACTTACGCTATCCTGTGTTCACGCCTATGCGACTCATGGTATCTGCGCGTGCCTGTCCGTTTGTGGACTTGTCGCGGCAGCGAGCATAATCTGTTCAAAAACCACGAAATCAGCCATGCTTTGAAGCGAAAGGAGCTGCAAACACTCAGACTCTGCTTTGTCTGGTGTCAACAGAAGCCTGACCGAAACAACAAATACTGCAATCTGCCAGCTAGCAATAATTTCTTCAGTCAACGGACCAGCATGGCACCCTGAAAGCGCGAGCTGCATTCTCTTGTCAGGAACCAGGCGTTCAGACAAGCCAAGATTGTCCATTACAGGTCAAGTCGCAGAAAGTTGATGCATTGTACAGAGACCTGCTACAGGTTTCCATGTCCACATATAGCTCACAACTTTAGGCCCTCTTCTTGATCTCTCAAGAACTCGGTTCTGAGGGTGGGTTGTCGAATGAAGTCGAACACGAGACACGTCCTTGACATGAGCCCATCTTAATATCGAGATGTTGCGCAGATTGAGCAGCTAGAAGTCAAGCTGCCTGGTAATTGCATATCGAAGGAGCAGGATACTGCATGAGCGAATGTGATAGCTAGTCTGATCGATACACCTGGCTCAGACCGTCCCTTGTCTTGGCATCCACCATTGTGGTGGAGACTGAGTAAACATTGCTATGGGCACTCGATTCATACAATCAGGCATGCGCGAAGTTTCGGTTGTCGGTTGGCGGTGTCGCGCAATGATAGACCGAGAGGGTTGAACACGCGTTGTTGCGGGCACAAACAGGAAACCTTTGAACCCTGGAAGTCTGCGCGGCGGAGGACATGCTAACCTTGTTTGAGTAAGGACAGCGAAGCAACGACGTGAACGACCACTAAGAAACCCCGAGACTTGCTAGGACCATGAGCCTGGTCAATTCATGAAAAGCAACGTTGGAGCTTAGACGTTGCATCCCGCTCGTCATCACAACAAGCTCGACCCCGCAAGCCCCCCGCAAAGCACCCAGGCACTGCCGAAATTGGGCCCGACCGAACTCGACCGAGGAATTCAATCCGCCAAACCCCGGAAAGGGATCAAGGCCGCACCACGCCCTTCGTATTAATTCACGACGGGACTAGGGCTGCGAGGTTTTGCGAAGCGACAAGCGATTGTACATGCCGATGACGATGAGTACCACCGTCAGAATCAGCCCCACGGTCCGATTGAAGAGCCACAGAGGTATAAAGAGCTCCGCAGAGAATACCAAGATGTATCAAGCGTTCCTTGGCCATCATCATGAAGCCTCAAGCACTTCTTGCGTATGGCGCTGTGGCTCTCGCCCAGCAAGTCTACGTCCCTGCTGAAGGGCCTGTCTCGCGACCGCAATGCTCGGCAAATCAAACATATGCGACTGCACTGCCCTCGTATACCTTCAGAGAGTTCAGCTTCACACAGACCGAGACTGTTCGTACAGCAACATCTGCCCCAGCTCCCACTACCACTACTACCTATGCACCACCGTACGCGTCGCTCAGTAGCTTGGTGCCAAATCTGACGACAACACAATGGGGCAACTGGAACTCAAATGTCACCGCATCACCGACCGACTTGGGGAATCCATACGGAAACGCATCCTGGACAGCTCTCTGGACGACCGTGCCATGGGTCAACTTCACGACCGGGATGTACTCTACAACAGTTGAACCGACGCCAGTACCGACCAGCGAGCTCATTCTGCCACCACCTGAGCCACTGGTACCCCAGCAATGCTACTCCTTCCCTGCAGACTTCATGCTTGGCGTGGCGGCATCAGCTGTCCAAATCGAGGGAGCCGTCGCAGATGAGGGACGGACACCCGTTCACAACGACGTTGCTGCCTTGAACAACCCGGGCCAAGCGCCGAACTGGATCGCGAACGAACACTACTACTTGTACAAGCAAGACATTGAACGAATTGCTGCCATGGGCATCAAGTATTACAGATTCTCCATTCCTTGGACTCGAATTCTGCCGTTCATCTTACCAGGCACACCAGTTAACAAGCAAGGTCTCTCGCACTACGACGATCTTATCAACTTCGTCCTGAAAAAAGGCATGCATCCCGCTGTTATGCTTTACCACAACGACTCTCCTTTCCAGTATTTCAACAACATCAGCGATGTCTTTATCAAGCCCGGAACTGGAGGTATTGGCTACCTGGACTCTTGTTTCCAATGCAGCTACAAGAATGTGTCGTGGGAGGATGCTTTCGTCGAATACGGGAAGATTGTCATGACACATTTTGCTGACCGTGTTCCAATCTGGTGGACCTTCAATGAGCCTCTCCTGGGTGCGCGGAACGGAAAGTCTATTGATGCTGTCATCAAAGCTCATGCGAGACTCTACCACTTCTACCACGATGACATTGGCGGAACTGGAAAGATGTCGCTCACATTCAACGACAACTTTGGCGTCCCACGCAACCCGGATGACCCCGCTGACGTCGACGCTGCCAACCACTTCAACTCCTTCCAGCTAGCTACCTTTGCCAACCCTATCTTCCTCGGAACAGACTACCCGGAATCATTCAAGAGTAGTGTTGACGACTACGTACCATTGAGCCAAGAAGATCTACAATACATCAACGGTACTGCGGACTTCTTCTCGATCCAACCGTACACTGCCACAGTAGTCAGTCCACCACCAAATGACACCATCGCTGACTGCGCTGCCAACATCACTCATCCCCTCCGACCTTACTGTGTAACTCAGAGCACCCTTACCACCACTGGCTGGGACATCGGATACCGCAGTCAATCATATGTCTACCTGACACCCAGCTATTTCCGCACATACCTAAACTATCTTTGGAACACATGGCGTTCTCCAGTGGCCGTCACTGAATTCGGCTTTCCTGTCTTCGCCGAGGCGCAAAAAGAGCAAGCAGACCAGGAGTTCGACAGCCCAAGGAGCTGGTACTACCAGACGTATCTGAACGAAGGCCTGAAGGCGATCTGGGAAGACGGTGTCAATTTCATCGGCGCGTTTGCTTGGTCGTGGGCCGACAACTGGGAGTTTGGCGACTACGACCAGCAGTTTGGTATCCAGACTGTGAACCGCACGACACAAGTGCGAAGGTACAAGAAGAGTTTCTTCGACTACGTGGACTTTATCGAGAGCAGGAGACAGGCGGCGTAGGTATCGTAACATATCCGAGCCCGTTTGTATATACAAAAGTCATCTCAATAGTACATAGATCCAGAGTTACCCTGCAATGTATGCTCACAATCTCTAAAGACGACTCACAAATCCACTTCGATCCATCTTGACCAAGTACTCTGGTCCAATGTCTTCAACCTTTGTCACACCCGCAAGTCCCATACACAACTTGAATTCATCGCTCAGCAACCTCAGCGCCAATTCAACACCTTCTTGCCCTTTGTATGCCAATCCCCAAAGTATCGGCCTACCAACCCAGACAAAGTCCGCACCCAGCGCGAGTGCTTTGAACACATCCGTCCCGTGTCTGATTCCTCCGTCTACATGCACAGGAATCTTCTTCCCGGTTTGTGAATGTACAGCAGCAACGACTTCGGGCAACGCATCGATGGTAGCCAATGCGCCATTAAGTTGCCGCCCACCATGGTTTGACACCACGATACCGTCGACGCCGTGGTGGCAGGCTAGGAGTGCGTCTTCGCCCGTCGCAACGCCTTTTACCCAGACTTCCATCTCAGGGTAACATTGTTCTTTCAGCCAGGCTATGTCGCGTTCCCAGCATAAGGTCGGGTTTGGCGCGTGCGTGTGAAAGCTTATCGGTCCTTGTGGTGGCTGTCTCTTATTGCCGTCGGTGGCACTGGGTGTCTCGCTCCTCTTGCGCGACTCGTTCGCTTCCGTGGATGGTGAGGCGATTTTCTCTTCGACCTTCACACCCTCGTCGTGTTTCTCATCGCGGTTGAAGTTTGCTACTTTGAGGTGTTTCGGCAGCTTGAACTGGTTCCTTATCTCCAAGTTCCGGCGTCCGAGGACTGGAGTATCGACCGTGAGCATGACAGCTTTGTAGCCGGCTTTCTTGGCGCGTTGGATGAGCTTCTGGCTTTGGGTGCGCTCTTCGAAGAGGTAGAGTTGTAGTGCTCCGGGATGGTTGCCCAATGCGCCTTTCACGTCTTCAAGGCTGGTTGTGCTGAAGCTGCTCAGGCCCATCACGATGTCCTTGTTGGCGCATGCACGTGCGGTCGCCAGTTCACCGTCGTCGTGTGCGAGACATTGCATAGCGGTTGGTGCGACGCCGAGGGGTATGCTGTTCTTGTGTCCGAAAACGTTTACGGTCGTATCGATGGAGGAGATGTCGCGAAGCACACGTGGACGGATGCGATACTTCTGGTATGCGTCAATGTTCTCGCGCAGCGTCGATCCAGAGTCTGCACCCTCATTGTAGTAGTCGCGTGTCTGCTTGTCCATGCGCTCTGCGGCAAGCTTCTCGAGTTCGCCGATGGTAAGGCAGTTCAGATCGTGGGGAGTCTTCGTGTCCGTCATTTTGATCCGTGTGGTAGGGCAAGACGATGCGACGGGTCGTGATGCGATGCGGGTGTATATGGGCCTTTGGGGAGGACGACAAATTCGTCGGATATTGAAGGAGACCAGGGATCAGCCATCTTGTCCATTGCTTCGGCAAACTTATCTCTAATTCGGCTATAAGGTTGATGATGACGGCGACGATGTAGCGTGGGAGCTATGGCTTGCCGATCTCGGGTCGACGCGTCAACTTCCCGTTCGTGCGAACGTGGGATGAGCCAACGCGCGAGCGCTCCTACTTTCCATCATCGCAACGATCCGGTCGCGTCGCGACGCGATACAAGAAACCCGAGGCACCAGCATCTGCATAGTACGCAAGTTTGAAGATACTTGAGCGGAGTGACAAATCTATTGAATGAGAGTACGAATCGAAGTCTAAGTAAAGCAAAAAGAGCACACGACAACGGGAAGATGACAAGGAACACCGAAGGACGAAAACACAAGACGCAACGCACGAAAACATGGGGAAAGAACCACCAGAGCAACAGGAAACCCATAAACACCAACGCATACAGCTACAAAGGAGATCAAGCCAAGAAAAGGAAGACACCATACGTATCGGGAATCCATAGTCCCATAGCCTCTCACCGCACGATCCGAATCTCCTCTTACATCCAGAACATACCTTGGTCAAGGTTTGGGTGCCATGGGTTCAGCCTGAGCGGCTTACTGTTGTCATTTGGGTTGTCGTGGTAATTCTTGCCCCAGACCTCGGGAGAGTGCAAGAGCCTGTCAACCATCGCTCGTTTCTCGGATAAGATCTCGACGTCGGTGGGCTTGCGTTCTTTTCCGTTTCCGTCATGATACGTGTCGTACTCAAAGATAGGATCGGCAAATTCATCCTCTGCCCAGTGACGAATGTAAGATCTACCGCGGTCGCATAACCTATCCGCGGCGTATGCCGGGGTTGCGTACGAGACACCGGTCGTCGATCGACCAAAGGTGTAGCATAGCATCATCGTCAACTTCTGCAGGTTCGCGGTCCCGATGTCCGTGTCGTTCTGGAGTACGTAGTAGTGGGCTGAACGTGCGGTGCCTTTGATCGCAGTGTGAGATTGCAAGAAGAAGTTCAGGGGCTTAGGCGCTGTGACCACACTGTCTACAAGTAAGCCAGCTTTGACGTTGCCGTTTTGAAAGTGTCGGAACACGCCCTGGGTCTTCTCTCGAGACTGGTATGTTTCGTTCTTAGTGGCAGCGTAGAATCGTGTATGGTGACGTTTGCTGACAACGAAAAAGCATACACTGAGGTCTTTAGCATTGCCTCCAGCCTCAAGATACGCCTCTCTGATCTGCGGGATCTCGAACTTCTCCACGTTGGAAAACTGCGACTCAGAGACACCGTCGCGATAGAACAAGATCCTGGTCGGAAGCTTGTCATCGTTACACGACTTCCAAGTCTCAAGCCGTTCTTTGACCATACTGCGGAGATTCGCCTCATCAATCTGTTCTTGGCCACCAGCTTGAAGTCTCATCGAACCGCGGTAGCTCATGAACTGAGCATCAACAGTACCCACAACGGCGGCGATACTGGGTGTACCAATCTTCGAGCCGTTGCCGGGATGGGTGACATCTGATCCTAAGATCATGGTGCTTCGTCTGGATTCCTCTTCACCTAGTAGCTTATCCAACATCTCGTTGTCAAGCCAGTGATTGTCCCCACCCAACTTCAAATTGACTTTGAGGGCTAAGTTGGAGAGATGCTGCCAACGATTGCCGGTCTTGTTATGATCGTTGTTCCTGTCATCTTGGATTTTGCTGCCGATAGCGCAGATGGTGTGGTACCCTTCAAAATCGCCAGTCCGTTTGATCTTTGCGTATTTGTCGAAGTCTTTCTCGGCCAATAAGACAAGGTTGCAGTCATTCCGCTGGCACATGGTGAACCAGGATTTGAGATCTTCTTCAATTCCTTTGTATTGCCCCAACTGGTTAGCATGGTCTCCAGACGTGGTGTGAACATGGTGAGCACACAATTGCTCAGTGAAATCCTTTTTGACAATAGCCAATTTGTGTTCTTGACGACATCCCGGCAGCCCGACGACGTGAAGGTTTTTCAGCGTTCCAGGCTTAATGAATGCCGCGCCTTGAAGATTCCAAGCTGACCGGTCGACGTGAATAAGTGGCTGGAATTTTGTATGAGACTGTGTACTGACGGTGTGTTCGACGTCGGGGTCACCGCGCTTCTCGTACGACAGACGGGGAAGTTCCAAAGACCTGGCGGCCAATGATATCAATTTGTTGTCGAGCTGAAAGCCTTGGTCCTGGCGAACTGTAAGTTAGCGATCCAAAGCTTCTGCGCCATTTGAACTTACGAGATACTTCTTGCTAGTCGTGTCTTCTTGATCCTCGATTTGATCTTTGAGACCAAGGATCCGGAGGCCCTCTTGATCAATCAGAGCTGCGTTCTCCGCGGGTAAGTGCAAAGCATGCCTCATCATCTCAGCAGTATGCTTTGGGTTCATCTGCCCTGTCATTGGCTGAAAAGGCATGATCTCGAGTAAACAAGCAGGGATCCACTGAGCGCCGTCCAAGGTCTGCTGACGCATAAATGTTAGTTTGCCTGCATCTTTCGATCTAGATGATTGAACGCGCTTGCCGACATTGACGCATAGAAGTTGAGCAGGTGACAAGCTACCTAGCATTTCTGCTTTCATTTCTACAGATGTTAGCGTAATATAAAATGGAGAGTCTGAGATTTCCTCACCGTTGAAGTATTCGATAACGGAGGTACCCTTATCTGTTGGGCTGACGTCGACCTTGGCGCCTTGCTCGTTAGCAAGAACTGTGAAGAACCTCTGCTCAGATGCAGGTAAACCAAACTGTTGAAAGACCTTTGTGCGCGGAAGGTCGTCGTTCATGGAGAATCCAGCGTCCTTGGTCTCTTGGAACTCTTGTCGTCGGTAGATTAGCCTGACGCGCTTGCCCCTCAACATCTTCTCAACAGTATTTTGGCTGAGCGATGTAGCCAACAAGTCAGAGACCAGTATTGGAGGTAAAAAGGCCGTTGTCGCTGCATTGATATTGAGCACAGGACCTAGCGCTCCAGGCCTTATCGACATGTAGTACCCGCGGACTGCGCGCAAGCCCAGGCTGTTGGAGTTCTTATCGACCATTTCGGTGAAACCTCGATCAAGGTAGAACTTGTTCGCGCCAAGCTGAGTAATCGATCGGTCCTCCTCTTCGTTGTACTTGCGGACACATTTCGCAACATGAGCATTCAGAGCCCGAATGTAGTCGGCGCTTTTGGTGATGTGTTCCTTACGAAGGACGCCGTCGATATCGCCCAAGACTACACCTTTCCTCACAGTTGCGTAGATGTCTGCATATGTTCGACCATCAAGGAGTTTGCAGTCAAAAGTTGCCGTATCCCACTCTTCCTGATCTCCGTGAGAACCCTCGAGAGCAGTGTCGCACCAAAGACTCTTGTAGTCGGTTGCCCATGTCTTCCGGTTCTTGGTCAGTTCCAACACATCTTCCTCGATCATCGCATCGAATACACGTCCAATCTCTTGCCGCTTGTTGAGCTCTACGCGGGCGTTGGGCTTCTTTGGGTCGCGACTTGGCCTATAGAAGGTCAAGGCATATGTAAAGAGTCGAGAAGGTACCTTGCGCACTTGCACATAATTTGTGATCACTTTGAACTCGCCTTCCGCCGGTTCTGGACCTTCGTGCTGTGTTGCGACGTTCGCTAGGCCATCTTTGGGTATATCAGCCTGGACATTCTCGGCTTTTGTCTCGTCTTTTGTGTAAATAAGCTTGCCAACATTCTCAGTCTCGATAGGCGTTCTCTTCTTGACGGGCGTCGCGGGCTTTTCGTTCAGTGCGCTGCTGGATGCGGGGTCTTCCGGAATAGTAGACTCAACATTCTGAGGTTCGCTTTTCATCTTATTGTCGGGTTTGGGTTGATTCTGCGCGACAGGCTTGCTTACTTGCTTGACAGGAGTGTATGTTCCGTCCGCAATGAGCTTGGCACGTTCGGTCTGAAACAACTTCTCCACAGCCTGCTTGTCCGCGAAGTTACCAAGACCCTTCGACCAGTGCTTGGAATTGGCGTTGGCGTTGCATTCGTTGATATGACCATGGTTGAACTCGTCGCATCTCATGCACTTGTTCCCGGTGAATTTGGGTGCTCTAATCTCGTCAAGCAACTCGGACTTCGTCACGTCGTTAAGCTGTTTGCCTGCTGGGGCTTTGCTGCCGCCTTTCTTGGGTGGCATGTCGATCGGACTGGGGCGTTGTCTGCAACGAGTACCAAGAAACGAGCTTGATGTGAAGATGAAACAATGCCGGTAAAGTGAAGCTCTGGGTGTGGTGGCTTACATTCAGTACCGGCACAGGATCATTATATGTCGGTGCCGATCGACCCAAACTGCTAAGCAAGCAGGATACAATTGTGTGGCATGTTTAGTAGATAGAAAACAAAGGATCGACTTGCCTTTGAACAAGCAATTTGCGGATGTTCATTGTAAAACGTTCGACTATCCATCATCCGTGTTGGCTGATCATGCAAAACATTGACCGATACTCATGGGTCATGGGCCCTGCTCGCTTGAAACAGATTGCACTTTGAGCAAGCGCCCATCATTACGCGGATCGCAAGTTGACTTGGTGGTTGTAAGATGTAGGATTAATGACAACCAACTGGTATGTGTATATTGCTCTAAGATCAGAAATCTTCGTCCTTCCGGCTGACTCACTGGAACAAGATCGCCGACTTTACCTGTGACGCTCGTCAGGCTTGGTCCAATACTGGCTTAGCAGTTGACCTGATCAGGGTACGGTCAGTCATTTCTTCACGTGTACTGCGAGAAATATCGACCTGATTGTTATATGCGCCCTATCTCATCGCAGCCTCGTTGCTGGCACGCGTGATCCCCATTTTACATTGGTAGTGACGACTGCTTAGGCTGATCTGGATGTTTAGAACATGCTGCACCGAGAGACAGGTGAATTTGGCGCTTCACGAAGAAAGCGCACGAGTGTTCGTCCGTAGGGTTGTCGCACAAGGAAAGCGAGGCGCACTTTCCTCACGCAGAGAGGTCTGATGCGATCGATGTCAGGCATCCAAAGGCCTAAACCGCGCGGAACTCTGCGACTTTTGTCAGCACACTCATATGTCTGAACCAAGGCAATAACCCAAGAAAAGGGCGCATATCGATTATAGTGGCCCTGCGTCGCGTGTAGTCTCACCGTAGCCGTGCATCTCGCGTGTTGATGGCTCGCGGCCGACGGCGCGAAAGTGGGTCCGGTCAATCGCGTCATGATCTGATTGGTCAATCACGGGGCTTTACTAGATTGCAACCCACCCGCTTTGTAATCCAGGCCGTAATCACCGCCAGTCGTGTAACCATCTGAATAGAATCGGGTCCGGTTTGGGATGAACGGTGGAGTGCTGATGCCAAGTGGAGCGTAGTGAGCTTGATGTTCACTATACTGAGAGAAGGTGCGAGATAGATAGAAGTGGAACATAAATAGTCGACTACCCCGCCAGGGCAACTACTAGCATCAATCAACTTCATCAACAAGAAACTGAACCTGCCATTGTCCTCACGCTTCCAGCACTTCCTTCAATTTCCAAACTACCACCCAACATGGCTCTCTCATTCCACAAGGTCGCCATCGCTCCCGTCATCACGGGCCTCAAGAACGCACACTTCTTCATCAACAAAGGCTACGAGCACGCCAAAGCCACCGACCCCAACGACTTCCTCACTGCATCTATCCACCCGGACATGAAGGACTTCCGCTACCAAGTCTACCGTTTCACCGACGCCGCCAAGTTCATTCCTTCTCGCGTGAACCCTGCCTTGGAAGGCATGACTCTACCCGACGAGGAGCAGACCTTCCCCGAGCTACTAGCTCGTGTAGAGAAGACTATCAAGTATCTTGAGGGCTTCTCGGAGAAGGACTTCGAGGGTAAGCATGATGACGAGGTTGTCGTCAAGTTTGGCGGTGTCAAGCAGATGAGGCTGCCGGCGCTGGACTATGTCACAAAGTTTGCGCATCCGAACATGTGGTAAGTGAAGATTCGCTTGAGGGTTCAGGCTCGTGATGAGGTTTTGCTGATGTTTGTAGGTTCCACATCGTGACTGCGTATGACATACTGAGGATGAAGGGCGTTGATGTTGGAAAGATGGATTTCTTGAACGGTACGGGCGCCATCAAGATCGAGGACGTTTCGCAGTAGTGGAGCTGGACTTAGATGTATGGCCATGCGCTGAAAGCGATGGGTCAGTCCGCGCAAAAACATAGTATCGCGCTAGCAATGAAGATGAATTATATAAGTCGCTTTCTTCCACTACGTTCTTCACCCTGGATCTTCAGTCGACGACTATCAGCGACAAGTGCATCCATCGCCGAGCTATGCGTGCTTGCATTCGCCGGAGTGACCCATGGCCCTCGCCAGTTCACGCTGAATACAGGTAAACCGTCAACCGTCACCGCTCTATCCCGTTCCCAAATAGACGCCGCATTCACGTGGATAGCGTTTGCGAACACCTTTTCCGGTGCCACAGTATGAAGTTTGACCAGATTACGCATGAAAATGCCCTTGAACTGGGCGCCATCGGCACCACAGTTCGGCTCGCATTCGTCGTGTAGAACGCCATTTTCGTCCGAAAGCGCGACAAGTGCCGCATTCGCGATTTCCGATGCGAGAACGAGGTATGCGGAGTGGGGTGAGCTTGAAGCTTGGTAAAGTTCGACAAAACCTCCCAAGATTACACCCTGGTTGTATGACCAAACAGTCTTGTTGTTGTTGGCACAATCCTCCGTCAGTCCATCGTTGATTGTACCATGCTCGTTGATCATACCACTTCCAACGAACCAATTCAGACTTTTCTCCGCCCAATACAAATACAGGGTCTTCTTTTTATCGTCGTGGACGCGGTTGGCCAGATGCGCAGCTGTGCTGAAGAAGAGCTCATTAGCGATCGCGTTTACGTAGTCCCTTTCCCAATTCCAGTAGATACCGCCATAAGAGCAGTAAGTACCCCAGGTGCGCGATACAGCGAGGAATATGCCTTCCGCGAGGGTGAGATAAGCGGTATCCGCGGTGACGTCGTATGCATTGATCCAGGCTAACGCCCACCAAAGATCATCGTCGTAGTAGCCGTCCAGCCAGTCATGAGGATCTGGCCTGGTGGGATAGGACCCCCCATTATCGTACCAGCCAAGCGGATAGAATGTGTGAGGCTCGTTGGTATCCGGATCGAGTATCTTCGTGTACCCAGTCTGATGGCAAGTCGTGTTGCCGACAGTTGGCGTTGTGCTATAAGCACATAGCTCATCAATACTCGCGTCTGGATTTTTGATCGGCGCCTTTAGCAACGCAGTCGCAAAGACATTGCTTGCCAGGTCCTGCAATTCTTCGTCTTCAGTATCTGATTTCGCGTAGTCGCCAATCATTGTCATGATATTCGCACCATTCCACCACCCAGTCGACTCCCATAGGCCGGTAGTTGTGTTATACCACAATTGTAGAGCTTCAAGCGCGAGTTTCGTGCGCCCCTTGGGATCGAATACGTCGTTGCTGTTGCTTTGCGCAGATGCTTTAGTAATGAACATGAGGCTGGGAAGGAGCAGATGGAGGAAGGGTGTGGAAAGCATGGCGAATGCGGACTTTAGAAGCCGTACACCTTGAGGCTACGCGAAAGCGATGATACAAAACAATATTCCAGACGATGTTCAGGCTATGAACAACGTTTGAATAGTAAGCCAAGATGGGCGGGGCTTGCAAGTACCCTCCGTCGAAGTCCGAGAATGGCAACACCCGCATGCGCTAATGTACTTGCAAGAGCGAGCATACACAGGGTAAGCCGCGAAAGGCGGAGGCTGCGCCTATTCTCAAAAAGAAGATCCATGTGGTCTTACCTCTGAGCGAGCAACGGTACCTGCTTTCCATCAAGCTGGTGCGCATCTAGAAGTGCTGATAACTGATTGGCGAAAGAGAAGCGGGTCGAATGTACCATGCAGAGCGCATATACGACCCATCCGAGTTGATTTCCTATGGCACGCCATGTGCGCATGATGGAGTTTCGCACGAGAGCAGTACTTTGAAGGTCTTGGCGTCGGAGCAGCTCGAAGCACAAAATTGGGCTTTGAAGTAACGCGAATATGCGACCCAGAACTCGAAAAAGGTGGTAAGACAACCTGGGCGATGCGCATTGCATGTTTCGAGAAGCCAAGTGCTTGTATAACACGGTGCACGCAGCTTGAGGTACCCGTGACGGATACCCCGCTACCGACCACCCGGGGATCGACCAGACTAGACTAGGTGGTGCCTGCCATCGCACCCATCGATCTTGATTAGGAATGGTCTGTGGAATTGCAGCAGTAGATTACTTTTTCGCAATGGAGGTCCGACCGATGCGTGGGATGTGAGTGTCACGGAAGGTACACCCAAGGAGCTGGGTCTGCAATGTAGTATAACTACCACCCAGGTAACGTTCCGCCTGCATGCTGGTAATCCGTTGCGGGCATATAGATCCCCGTTCGAACGTTCAATTTTGTTGTTTCGCACCTTCATACTCTGTCTTTGGCCGCTGCACGTACTCAAGCGATCAAGATGTCATTGCCCAGATCTTTAACCTCTTCCACCCAACAGTTGCCGGCACCAGGTCCAGCTGAGTCCTTGAAACGCCAAATAGCCTCCAACACGCGCTTGGACGTGTGAAGATAGCCCCAGAACATCTGACCATAAAGTTCATCCAGTGTGTTCATGATCCACTCGCGCTGACTAGGGTCCTCCGACTCGGCACCAGCAAGGAATAATGGCCAACAGATTGATTTGAAGAGTGCATCTCCAGGCTCAAGATGCGAAATATGATTGACGACGTCATCGGCGAGAGCGGTGAGGCTGACGAGGGCTGTGCCACTTGCTGGGTCGAGAAGAGGGTTTGTGGAAGGTAGTACGCGAGCGAGATAGATGCAGACTGCTGATCGATGTGCCGACGCTATTCGAATCCGTTTCTGTATATCGTCGAATGGCGATGCACGCTCGAACTCAAAAGACCATGCGATAGGATCGAAGTCGAGCGCGCGCTGCAGAAGTACGCCCACCTGCTCTTGGAGATAAATGGGCGTGGTGGTCTCAGAAGGCGACCCATGACTATCGGGCAAGGCGAAGGATTCGAGCATTACACGCAACAACGGCCCAGGACAAGAGAGGTAGTTATTTGTTTCCGCGTAACGAAGAATCGGGTCCAACTCGATGGTC